TATAGTAGCCACTAGCCACCCATGGCCATTGAGCATTTACAATGTGGCTAGTGTGACTGAGGAACTGCTTTTTCATTTTATTTAATATGAATTAACTTAAATTGTAATTGCTACCTGTGGCTACTGGCTACCAAATTGGACAACACAGTTCGGGAGCATTGGTTCTCAACCCTAAAAGTACATTAAACTTACCTGGGTTCACAAATGCCCAGTTTAAACCAACTAAAACAGAACCTCTGAGGGTGAAATTCAGGCATCAGTATTTTTTACATTTGCCTGAGGCAAGTTAATTAAGTTCTCTAAGCCTCAGCTTCCTCATCTGTAAATAAAGAAAATATAGAACCTACTTCATAGTTATTATGTGAGAATTAAGTGAGATAAAGGTTAGCTGTTATCATTATTCTATAAGAATTTTGCTGCTATTTACAAGTTGTGAGAAGTCACAGTTTGAAAAAGCAAGGCATGCTCTTAATGGTGTGTCCAGAGATGTTTAACAAATATTCATCAATGATGAAGATAACATCTCAAAGTTGGCTAGTCTTCGGGAAATCATTTGGACAATGAAAGCTATTATGGACAAAGTTTTCCAAGGGAAATTATCTCATTGTAAAAGCCTCTACAAAATACTAAAACACAAGCCTAATTCTGGGAACTTGTGAAGGGCGACTCTTAAAAATATACTAACAGGAAGAATTTACACTTTTCACCCCTCACTATCTCCCAGTAGGTGGTGCTCAAAAAAAGAATTACAGCCACTGACTTAGAACACACACAAGTGCTGTAAGTACAGCTTCAAGGTTGACTATCAGCCAGGGAAGGAATGAGAACATTTTATTTCATTCAATGCTTTAAGAAGTCTCTGACTTACGCTCCCACTGTAAAAGATTAGGAAAATCTATGTGAACTCATAATCTTAATACATAAGTGGCCTTATATATTAATAAATAAGCAACATTCAATATAAAAGTGACACTTTTATCCACTATTAACTCTCATGAGCACCCCCATCATCGATATTTTCATCTCTATTCCTTAGAAAATAGTGAATTTCATTTCTTAAGGCAGAAAATTAAAGACAAAGATACTGTCCAGAATGTAAGAAGCAATGCAAAGAAAGTATAAAGTAACTCCCAATGACCAATATGTGACAAGTGAATATCAAACATTATCATAGCATCATCATTGATATAAATATTTGAAATAAGCTGAGTCTGTATAAGGCCCCGAGTCTATTGGCATTCCTTTTATGAACCATGTTTTCTGGAAAATTAAGTTCTCTATTATAGAGAGTGCTATATAGGAATTAGACTAGTTGCTCCTTTCTCCATTTCTACTTTGATTAAATAGCTTATTGATAGTTTGACCACGAATGTAAAAAATAATTTTTGGTAAGTATCTTGGGAAACCCATGATCTGACAATTTATTAGTCGAAAACCTAAAAGTTGCTTCTCTGGCTTGTTTCAGCTTAAATCTGGAAGCATCTCATTTGAAACAGTCTTGTTTTTTAATTTCACAGCTGACTGTGAGAGCAGGCTCATCCTCCACTCTCCTAGACACTGCTGAGAAAGGAAAAACCAGACTTTCACACCTCATGCCAGATAAACCTAACATTTTATTAAGTATGTCATAGATAGCCCATTTACAAATGATAGCTGCTACTATTCATGAGAAATTCCCATAGAAATAAAATGAAAAGGAATAAAAGCTTCATAAAATAAAAGCCTAAAATGATTGTTTATGTCCAAAAGATTCAAAGTGAAGTACTACGGAAGAACCTACCCTGGTCCCTCCACATGAGCCTTGGATCCCTTCACATCCCACCTTCTAAGCAAATTCACTCTACCAGTTATCCCTCTCTGCTGCATATTGTCATCTTTTCTCTTGGCACTATCCTGTAAGCATTCAAACATACTGAAGTCTCTACTATCTTAAAAATAATATTCCCTAAATCCTACTTCTCCTTCTAGCTGCTGCCTCTCTCAGGTGTACTCACACTGCCACGATCTTTTTCAACTCCCATGTGCCACTTAACCCATCACAATCAAGATTTCACCCAACACAAACTACTTATAAATACCTCCATGCCACTAGACCCAGTGGACTCTCCTCTCACTACCCAGTAACAGTCAGCCACTCTCCTGCGTGAAACCCCTCTGTCTTTGGCTGCTGTAATACCACACTTAGTATCCCTCCTTAGTATTCTCTCCAGACGTTTGTTTTCCTTTTTCTTGGGATGTTAAACCTAACCTTCACATATTTTTGTTCCCAGATTTTATCCCTAAACTTCTTTCCTTTCGATCCTAGGCCCCTCGCATGACTTCAAAGGCCAGCTGTAGTCTGACAACTTCCACATTCATTCATCTCCAGTCCTGACCCTCTTCAAAGCTCCAGATCTCTTAGATAACACATCCAAAACAAAATTCACATCTCCCTTTCTAAGGCCCGCCAAAACCATTATAACTCAGTAAATGGCACTACTGTTCATTTATTTGCTTATGCCAGAAATCTGAGAACCATTCCTCTCCATCTAATTTATAGCACGTCTTCTCAGTTCCGTCTCCAAAATGCATCTCAAATCCACACGATTCTTTCCACCTCTACTGCCTCTCTTAGTTTAAGCAGCCTCATCCTAACTGCTCATCTCTCATCTCTCATTCTTGCCTCCTCTAACCCATTCTTTACACAGCCACCAGAGTGACCTTTTAAAACTTTATATCTAACCATGTCACTTTCTGCTTACAACATTTCAGTGAAGGAGCATCAATGGATCCTAAACCAACAGCTGAGAAGTTGCTGCAGAATAGGATAGTCACAAGATGCCAAAGTATCTCTTCACAGATTACTAATGCAAAGGTTAAAATGCATCTTTACAAGGGAGACAGACAGTGGTGACCACTTAACCCAGTCACCAAATGTAGCATCACTAATATTAAGACATCCTGACATTACATGCCTTCTGATCTGGTACCAATAAAATTCACAACACCACCTAGGAAGTATTCTTACCAAAAATGTTTAACCTAAATCTAATGATGCCTTTAGGACTAACTTCCAATTTACAGGAAATATAGAGGGTAGAGGAAAAAGTTAAATAATTTCACAAGAAAACAATTTGACAAATACAGAATGTGGGACATTCCACAAGGCAAATGGCCTGGACTCTTCCAAATGTCGTTGTTGTGAAAAGAAAAAAGGGGGCTGCGGGGGGAACAGGTAGGAGGCGGGAATCGATGTACATTAAAAGAGAATACAAAGACATAACCAAATATAATGCATATATCTCGCTGGGATCCTAACTTCAAAAGTTATATACATACACAATTATTTATATGATACACATATATACGTACACACATATTTTTAAATAATTATGGAAATTTGAATATTAAATACTTTACTAATTAACAATTCATTTCTTTTAGTGATAATGGAACTAAAAGAGGTTATATAAAATTATGTCCTTAACCTAAGGAGATACATGCTGAATTATTTATTGGTAAAGTATCATGATATCTGCAACTTACTTTGAATGATTTAGTCAAAAGGAAGAAAATGGTACTTATATGAAAGGAGAATGATAAAGCAAATACTGCAAATGATACAACTGCTTAAGTGAAAGGTACATGGGTGTCCATTATATTCTTGAAATTTTCTGTATGCTTGAGTAATCTCAATATAAAATGCCATTAAAAAAAAAAAACTTTAATGAATCTTAGAATGAAATCCTAACTATTTCCCTGGTCTGCACCATCAGGCTCCTGCCTACCTCTTCAGCTTTCTCTCACAATACTCTTCCCATTGATCTCTCTACTTCAGTCACACCGCTCTTAGTTCATATATATCCTTTAAGTCTCAAATGAAATATCACTTCCCTCCCTAAACTCCCCAAAACTGGTTTATGGAAGAACTCATGTGGCTGAGGGGGAAATGGAATGAATTATGAAGGCGTGCAGTGGGAAAGGGAACAATTTTCAGGACTAAGAACAGAACAGGATGTCTTGGAGGAAGGTAGAAACAGAGATGGACTGGCTGAAGTAGAACATATTTGAAGAAACTAGTATCTTCCATTAAACCTCTGTTATATGCTCTCATTGCTTCCTATAATTCTCATTCATATTTCTCATACTTTTATTTAAATATTATGTGTGTACTTATTTAATGTTAAAAATCCACACCAAATTGTAACCTCTATATCAATAAAGGCTAGGTTAGTTTTGCTAATCATTGTATCCCCAAAACCTAGCACATAGTAAGTGCTTCATAGATGTTGGCTTAATGAATACCACATAATTTGGCTTTAAAAGAATACAACTTTAGTCCAAGTACGACTTAACTCAACTGATAAATATCTACTCGAGTGTGGATATTAAAAATGACTATTAGATTTAGTTATTAGAGTTGACTATTTAGATGGTTGTTAAGGGTAATGAGCAGTTTTTGTTTTCACCAGATTCATTCATGTAATCATATTCCTCTCATTTTCGGGTACTCTTTATTCCCCCTTATTTATTTTCTCTACCTACAATAAGCAGGTGTTAAGAGTCAGACTATTGTACACTAATAATTTTATGTCAAGCTTTGATTGTTAGCTCAGTAGCTTATAGTATGGCTCTTAAAGTGTCCAAGTATATAGATTTAGAACTCAAACACGTCAGTAAGCCTGATGCAAATGCAATCCCATTCTGTGCCATTTGTTAAATATGGAGCAGGTGAGAAAATGTAGATCAAATTCAAATCCATCCACTCTGTTAGAACAATAATACAAAAAATAATTTTAGAAAAATAACGTTGCTGACTGTGGCTTTTTAAAACAGACAGCAGATATGTAAAATTACAGTGGAGAGGATAATCTAGTATATAAAACTCCATATGATCACTTATGTAACAATATTGCTCTATTCCATTTCATTTTCAAGAACCATATAGCTAAACATTAACTAAATTTTGTATAGAACTCAAGTATAGTCAAATAAATTGATAAATGCAACCCTGGTTCTACCTGTATGGTTGGTAAAAATGCACAGCATCGGGTATTTGGATGATTTGTCTTGGTCTTGAATATCATCACATCCAAAGTTGACAAGCCTAAGAATATAAAAAGAAATTGTAAGTGAATTTAAAAATAAGTTCCCTTATAAAGGACAGTAACCACTTATACCCACAGAAGTAGAGACATGTCCCTGAGAAATTTAAGTAGATAACATGTTTTTTGGTTAAAAAAATTCTATAAAACAGTAATTAAAACAAATACATGTCAAGTTTTGTTTGTTAGCTTAGTAGATTTTCTCTGTGGCCTGGACAACAGAAAAAAAATATTGCTTTCAATTTACATTTTTATAGCTTTTTCTGATTTAGAGTAATGCACATATTATGTTTCAAAATAAGCACAACTGAATGTATATATGATGAAAACTAGTGAAAACATTTAACAGTTTAGGATTATCACTAATCTAATTCACGAAGATTTTCTTTTCTTCTGTGTACTGTTGGCCTTGTGTCTATTTTTTCAAAAGTGTTTCATGTTTTTACTACATTTAAAACAGTCTGGGGGCGGGGAAAAATTACCTTTCATGTAAAAAGGAAAACAGAAAATAAGTGGTAGAGTCAGCTGAACTACAAGTGGATTGACCTGTGACATCCTCTTTAATGGCAACAAGAAAAGGGTTTTGATGTTTGATTCTAAATGTAGCTCTAACTCATCAAATCCTTTATTGAATCACATAGAGAAGAGCACTTCCAGATCTAAATAAATGGATATGCCCTACAGAAGTAAATGGCTACAAAAATCAATATGATTGACTTAACATGGAAATACCCTCTGTTCGTGCTTGTTAAGGCTGTTTATGTTCTCTAAAGAGAACAGAAGTATAAAAGAAGATACACACACAGGAATATCAAATTATCATTTTATCTGCATGCCATATATTAGATATAAACATAATCATTCTGCCCATGAGTATCTATAAAAATTATTAGTAACCTATGAATAACTTACTTAAATACTGAATCACTTAATGGTATGTCCAACGGTGCTTCAAACTGTTAAAAAATCAGAAGAAAACAAACAAAAGATGACCTTAATTAAGTGACATTAGTTCTGAAAACCAGAGCATGCCTGACAAGGCTGTGCTTGCCTAATGTGAAGAGCCCATTTAACCATCATTATCTTCAGAAGTTATTCCTCAAAGCCATGGCACAGAAATCCCATCAAGAATATTCTGGAATTTATGTACAATCACAAGCTTGATGTATATTTATTTTTCAAAGGGCTAATACTTGGCAAATTTTGCCTTAGATTTGAATATCATAAACAGGTAGTATAATAAACCATATGACCATATAAGGGGAGAAGGACTGTGTCTTTAGAACAGTGGATGAGTCAAAAAAAAAAAAGTGGGTGGGGAGGAGAAGGAATAAATAAATTCTTATAATGATATGATACCAATCTACATAAGACACCAGTATTGATTCTAGCATTCCAAATAGCTTTTTCAGGAGTCATGCTAGATTTTTACTAATTAAACTATACCTTCTCATTGGCTCTTTACCTTATTCTCAAATCCACCGATCTCACAAGTCCTTTGGCATCAAATAACTAATAACCACTTAAAGCTATAGACCATACTATTATCATCTACTAATCCTTACTCTTATACTTGTTTCTTTAATGTGAGGTATTTAGTTAGCAGAAATTTCCTGTGTGTGCTCTTCTAATCACCTATATTAATTGCATCTGTTATAGAGTTAAATGCCAAGAACTATTTTACTTGCTTACATAGGAGACTGACACAACATCAAGAATGCTAAAATGCTGTTTATGGTAACAACTCTCTTTTAAAGGAGGCAACGTGTCATTAAATTTCCTGTAGCTTAATAATTCTCTGAACTTACCATTAAGTTAAAGTTCTCATCAGCACAAAACTGGATGCATTTTAAGGTACTCCTTGATTTCTAAAAGAGAAAACAGAATAAATGACATATTACTCAAAAAGTCAACAAAAGCACTAATTAAAAAAAAAGAGAAAGCACGAATGAGAGCCAGAAAAGAAAGCAGCCAAGATGCAAACAGTAATGAAAACCTTTTCATTATTTTTAATAAACCTTTACTGACAGCCCCCATCAATGAAAATGCAGTGATTAACAAATTACGATTATGATAATGTCAAAATCCAATTGCACCTATAAAAAGGAGGGCCAGTAGACTAGTTTTTACCTTCAGGTCAATGTAGTATAATCTCTGCTCTGACATATCCCACTGAGCCCAGACGAAATCCTCTGCTACTCTGTCTCTTGGGAGATGGCCAGAATTTTTAATCACCTAAAGAGGCAAAAAGATTTTAGAAATAACTGTTTTAAAAGAGGACAGATCTACAATTCATTATTATTTTGCATATTCTATCTTTATAATACATACATTATCTTTATACATCTTTGTAATACAATATATATTTCCATGGTTTATTTTTAGCAGCCCCCCATCCTCACCACATACATATGTAAAGTCTTTCCAGGAAAAATTTAAGGTATCATTTCATTACTTTCTCTGCCTAAACACTTTATAATATATTATTTTATTCTATGCCTAATGTAACAGACAGGCTGGTGTTGTTGAAGGCAAGCCACATCTACCACAAATCAATAGCTAATTTAGTAAAAGATTCAGAGCTTCCTGTTTGGGTTCAGAGACCATTCAAGTCTCTGCAGACAAGAAGCCTTCACAAAGGCTGGGATGCCAAGGAAAAAACTAAGGCCCAAGACAAAGGTGAAGGTCCCCACCTCTGTATCCCCATGGTGCTTTGGCATGCTTTTATTTCAGTTACATTTTAATTAATACTCTAAGTCTCCCCCAGTGAGTATGCACTCTTCTGTAACATCTTCATACTCTCGATGTCATATTTATAGCACATACTACTACTCAAGGAATGCTATTCAAAAGGAGGAAAATGAAAAAAGTATGTAAATCGTCAAAAATACTACAATAAATACAAAGAATTAAGAATTCACTTTCCTCAAAATGCTTATATAGCAAAAGTAATCTATATTGGGACAGATGAGTAAAGAATGTAGACAGGTTGACGTAGAAGAAATGAGAAAAAAGGGAAAACATCAGAATGGCCCATTTTTAATGCCTAAACCCTCTCTAATTCTAATAGGAATTTCTCCACTGAGGGCAACTTAGAACTCGAGGGAGACACAGGGGATGTAGAATCATGCATCTCTGTTTTTGGCTTGCCGAGGTCCATTAATTTAGACAGAAAAGTGATACTGGAGACAATATCCAAGAATACCTGTCAGTCTCTAAACCTTGGACAACCCTTGTTTCCATTTCTCTGAAATGTGTTAGGTTGGGGTAGATTTGGGGAACTCTCAGATGAAGAGATATACTGATGACAGCCCAGGCATCAGGGTGTGGCAACTCAGGTTCACATCTAAGTTTTGTTCCTCTCTAGAGCTACCTCACCTCTGTGAGTCTTGCTTGTGTTGTTCCCTGTAAAAATGGGGATAATTATAATACCACCTCTATCATGCAGGGATGTTGTGAGTAATACGTGGAACAACACACTGCTTTAAGTAGCTGTCATCTAAGCCTTTAAGAATGAAGGCAAAAGTGCCTCACAAAAGAGCACACAAGGATGAAAGAAAGCTGAGGCTGCACTCTCTTGGCTGGGAGAATCCTTTCTGGACTGCTGACGAGTGCCTCCTGCCCTCACTCTCTCTGCAATGTCTTCTTGGCTCCCAAACCCTCTTCTGAACAGCCAGTCCTCTGTCTATGCCCATTCCCAGCTTCTGACCCTAACTTGTTTATATAATTCTTTCTTCTAAATTCTCATGCTGTGGGATCCTGCCTTGCTCTTTCCTCTCTGGCATGACCCTTTCCTGACCACTGGCCATGACCTTGCCCTTCTATCCACTTAGCCACTGGTGGCCCAGAGCTCCAGCCACACATGTTCTGGTCATTTTCTAGCCTGGCCTCTTGATTTGGGGCAATTAATAGTCGATACATATAAATAAATGCCATTTTCCATTTTGATTCTGTTCACATAACTTTAAAATTTTCAGAGGAAGACTATTTTGATACAGACTATTTAAATATTGAAGGAAATCATTTTTAATATATTAATATCTCATACAAACTGTAAAGAACAGGCAACTCAGTAAAAAAATAGACAAGGATACAACTAAGCAACTTTCAGAAAAGCAAATTCAAACAGCCAATAAGCATAGTAGATGCTCGAACTCACCAATATTAAGGGAAATACAGACTAAAATAATAATATTACCAACTTATACCCATTAAATTGTAAATTTTTTTTAAAGACAAATACATCTATTAGTGGTATGGATAGAAGGAAAGGGTAAAACTTTGGTTGTAAACTGCGAAGTTGTTAACAAGTTTTTAGAACACAATCTGGAAAATTTGTTGAAATGTATTAAAGCATATATACATCAACCTAATTATCCATTCCTGAGGAGTTATCCCCAAGAATATATGTACTAAATATGTAAAGCTATAGACACAAAAATATTTGAGACAATTTCTAATGTAAACAAGTAAAAGAAAATTGGCAATCAAGTGAATGTCCACCTGTGGGAGCGTAGATGAAAAATTGTACACCCATGTCAGGGACTATTATGTACTTCTAAAGAAAATGAATTGGAATTATTCTAGTTGATTTGCAGGTAATTCCACAAAGTTGAAGGAGGAAGGAGTGAATAACAAACCCCTGGGTGTGTCAGGGTGGAGATGGCAGATAATACAGGTATAGAGAAAAGTATGAAAGGATACATACCAGGTTGTGAAAGAAAGTTAAAGGTGAAAAGGAGACAGAGAAGTGGAAAATAAGCAAAAAAAAAAAAAAAAAAGGAAAGAAAATTGAATTATATAAAATCCCAGCATATATGTTATGATCTCATTTATATCTATGTATATGTATCTATGTAAAAAATTAGATTAAAAAAGTTATATCTCTATTTAGCAACTTATAGGGATACCCCCTGGATCTATTAGGTACAAAGCAAAAACAAAAGCAGCAAATTAATATATAATGATTCTATTTTGATAAAAAAAAAAAAACTGAATCCTTGTATATGTGCACTTGAGCAAGGTAAAAGGTGTGGAAATAGTCACATATGGCTGTCAATATTATGTCAGGAGACTGAGATTGGAGGCTGAGATAGAGATAAAGGGGATATTTAACCCCTTCATATATCTTGAATTATTTCTCATGTTACAACAATAAGTATATAATTTGAAAGACATCAAATAAAGAAAGTGTTATGTTTCTATGATATTAATCTATAAAAATTAGAAAGGCCTAATTGACAATCTAGAAATGTCACTTTGTGAAAAAAGCTCTGAAGCAAAAGGAATTTCAAATATTTACCACTCTATTTCCATCTTCTTGGATGACTTGGATATGAAATTGTTCAATATCTTTTTTAAAAGAAACAACAGAAATATAATTTAACATTCATGAAAAATGTGAATACTTTTTTCACCTAACTACTGTGAACAATTTTTTTATTTAAAAGTGCGGATTAAACAACTAGCTGAAAAATATTATCACAGACATCAATCTCACAGTAAATCTCACAGTAAATGTTCAAAACACAACCCATCTTACTCCACTCTCCCTTTACAATCTGTTTCAAATTCAGCATTTACTCTGCTCTTCAATATCAACAATACATGAAGCATTTAACCTGTCTGCTCTACTGGGTTCCCTCAATAAGCATTTGCCTCCCCTACACCATCAGTCTTATGTACAGCTAATAAGAGCTCATTTGGCAGGGTTTATCTTCAGTTTCCAAATTCCAGACACCTATTTGTATGAAAGTATCAGATAGGAAACTTATTATACAAGATATCTGGGGGAGGTGTTTTTACATGGATCAATTTCACAGTAACAAAACTCTAAACATTTTGCCTTGATTTGTGAATGTTCTCTTTCTCCCAGTAAGCAATTGAGATTCAATCACTATATTTGCCTTCTGCCAGTTCTAATTACAAAAACGTGAGACTGACAATTAGGCAAGAGCATAGGAACTGAACACAAGCCTAACCCTTCAGACTTGTTTATTCAATTATAAATCAGCAGTTTCATCTTATAACACGAAAGACTGCTTATTAGGTAAGATCCACTAGTGAATTTTATCCTTTCTCGCCCCTGCCCCAACTTGAAAACATCATTAAAGGATGTCCCAATCTTATTTCCCTCTATCTGAATTTGACCAACTTAGTATGTGTCCTCAGGTTCTACCATGGATTTCTTCTAGCTTCTAATGCCTTCCTCTCTCTCCATCTAAGCCTCTCTCCTTATATCATGGTTATCCACTGTGACAGACATCCTAAAGAAGGATGGACTTCAGAAGGCAACAATGACCTGCAAAACTCTTCTACAAACATCCTACCCCCATGACAAAACTGGAAATCCATATATGGAAGGGCCTATCATTCCTAGGATGAGGAAATAGAGCAGACCCTGAGGTTACATTAAATGGAGGCTGTAGGAAAAACCCTTCCACAGGAATCCTAGGCCTCAAGTGGATATCAAAGGTCAGCAGACCCTCAGCACTGACTAGTGGACAGATAGAAGATTTAGTCACGTCCCACACTTCATTAGATGGGACATTCATGAAGTCTCCATATACCTCCTAAAGATGCACTTACATTTCTCTTCTGAAATCAGTAACAAATGGTTCTCTGGAAGAGGATGACTGTCAACGTGTGGATAGAGGAACTGCAAAAAGGAAAGAAAATTAATTAAAATCATAAGCAACTACCTTGCTTACATAAATATTTCAAAAGTTGTATTTGATCATTATACACTACATACTATACAAGGGACTGGGAACCACAGAATAGTTTAGGTGAGTTACGTGCATGCATGTATTACAGATGGAAGCAAGCAGGAAAATGGGACCCTTTCAGGAGCTCAGTTTTCCAGGGAAAAATTGATTGCAGGTACAACATAATTCATTTAGACAATAAGGCTAAAGTGTATGCTATTTATAGGGATAGTGCATCCTATTTGGAATATGTGATTCTGAAGCCAATCAGAAACAATGTAAACAACATTCCTACAGAAAGTTCACATACACAAAATAAGAGTGGTCAATACATTTGTTGTTCAACTAGCATTTAATTTGCGAGATAAGTAAATGGACTCTCCATTATAACTTCCAAAGTCCAACATCCAAGAGACAAGGCACAACATAGCCAGGGACTTTCCAAGAAAGAACAATGAGTCACAGTGTGGCATGTGGTAGAGGGCTCACAAGCCTCAAAGCATAAAATGACTGCCCCTAGAGAAAAAAGGCTTGATCCATACCACTCCTCCTCTGTGCTCTCCCATAGGTACCAGCTCACAGGACAGGACGAAGAAGGCAGCCAGAAACACAAGGCTTTATGCCGTCAGCCCTGATAATGAGGGAACACTGGTCATGGGATGACTCCAGTGGCTTAATTCTTTCATCAACAAAAAGGTAACTATAAATCAGCAGATTCATTTTATAACATGAAAGCCTACTAGATAAGATCCACTGGTGAATTTTACTTTTTAAACTTGAAAGCATAATAAAAGAACATAACCATTCATTTCCCTATTCTGTGTTGGCTGCCTTTCTACAGACTAAGAAAATTTTTGACAAAATATGTTACCTGGTGTCCTAACTTCTCATAATGACAAATTGGAAATGTAACCAGCCAGTTTTTAAAATAGTTCGTAGTCAAGTTTCCCTGTCAAAATTGCACAAAACATTAACTATATATCATTCTTTACAGCAATAACCTCAAAATTTAAAAATAGATAGCAATGTAGAATTTAGCTACAAAAATAATATAGAATTCATTATCTCCTGATTTGTGAAACTGGGCACATCAAATAGGATACTTTGAGTCCTGGGGTTGAGGGAAAGCAAAGATGAATGACACCACATAGATAATGGAAGAGCAAATGCTCAGTGCCTCAAAATAAGGAGATACTTCTACAGAAGATGATGTGGCCTCCCTGGGTCTACAGAGGTGGCCAAGGCATGCTCCCTTAGGACTGCGATCTGGACTAAGGTGGTGCTAGATTTAAAACTTTTGTATAGTCTTTGTGTGGCAATCAGTGAGAACATAATTTTAAAGTCCAATTTGGTAGTGGCTTTCTATTATGAGGCAGCCCTAGAGCAAGGTTTCAGACATAGCTCTACAAAAGTATGCAAGACTGGTTTGGGTTTTTCGTTTGTTTGTTCATTTGTTTGTTTTGTGCATTGTAAGTAAGACTCTAAATTTTATCATATTAGGGAAATATTTACCTTCACAAATATGAGCTACACTCTAATTATTAATATTCATCATTAGAAAAGAGTATTTACCATAGGTATGTAGAGGGGTGTATATTTACCCAGTGGAACTATCTGAAAGATGCACCTCATGCTAATAGAGAACTGTCAAACGATACCAGATTGAAATCCAAACCCCACTCACTACTTTCCTACTGAAGTTGCTCTGTGAAGGGAGTCGAGAAGGTACATGGAAACTTAGAGAAATGTACTACTGGAGACCACCATGGATGTTTTGATGAGAAAAGGGAGGGAGATAGATCACAGGACTAGCCCAAACTCAACAGACAGTGAATGGTGTTTCTCTAAAAGGGGAAGAGGAGGGATATAGCGGGGAGGCAGGATTTGCCACGGATAGACGGACGTTGGAAGAAATTTCTCCAGGGGCATAGGCGTGAGGAGAAGGGAGCAGAAAGCAGTACTAAAAACTGAGATGGGGTCACAAGATGAGTAGTTTTACTTTATTTGTGTGGGGACTTCTCTTTGGCCTATGTATGTGGTCGTGTATCACGTACTTTTAATTTTTTTTTTAATTTAAGATAAAATTCATATAAATAAAATGTACAATTTAAACTATTTTAAAGTACACAATTTAGTAGTTTTTAATAGTCACAATGTTGTACAACCAAATATTTATAGAAACTTTGCCCCTCCTGTGTCCCAACCCTTCAATAACATCTCAATCGCCTATGGAGATGCTAAGGAAGCCAAAAGACCAGGCCAGGAAAGGAAAATGTACCAACCCACAGTCATCCCTGCAATGATGACAGTGTAAACAGAGTGGCTTCCTGGGGGAAGGGGAATGCTCCTCGGGAGCTCCACCCCAGGCTGTCTAGAAGCAAGGAGTGGCCCACAGTGAAGCCAGGAGTAGTGGCAAAAACTCACAAGTGGAAGGACTGCTGACAGTGGCAGATAATCCCCTCTCCTAACACCCACTTTAAGAGGGAGACTCACTGGCTTGAGGCTGGGAGTCCGTAGGAGGAAGAGGGGGCAGATACTTTGGGTTACACGAGGAAATTTTAAAGTCACCACAAACAGTACACTGAATGATGAACCATTGCTCCCTGAGAAGACACAGGGATAGGTTCCTGAAAGCCTCTAGTCACTACATTTTTGTCAACAAATTAACACATAACTTTGTTTAATATGTTTCTGTTTAAAGACACCTTATTTAATATGTATTGCTGATTCATTAGCATTGAACCCACAGTCAACAGCACTATAAACTCATGCCTAAATGAAGATTATCTAACTAACAGACATTTTCTCTGTAAAGCACATTGCAGCCTTCTTGCACTTAGGAACATTAGCAGTATGCTTGGGGGACATTTTAAACAGTGAAGTCACCAACAAAAAGCCCCCAAATTAAAATAAAAAACAAAACACATGGCACTAGATAGACCGGGAAACATTTGTTTACAAGTATGAGAACTGAATCAAGAATGCAGAGTATCACCTTACTCGACCTCAGATGGAAACATGTGCATTGGGTGACAACTTTTTCACCACTTTGAACATATCTGCAAATGACTTTGAAAACACTATGAGTATTGATTTGGGGGTTACAAATAAATTTTAGCAAGCGGTAGAATTCACAAATTCAGAATGTGCGGGTAAGGAGGACTGACTTTATCTAGTGCGCCTGCATTATACACATAGTGCTTCTACATCGGTTCACAGAGTTGATAAATTCCAGGATTACTTAAGTTATTTAATCATAGATATTTAATCTGTCAACTATGTGAATACATTAAATAAACCATTTAAATGTGTTTTTATGTTCAATATTTTATCATGTAAAACATTACATTACTATCAAGCCATGACATATAATAGAGACAGAGGAGTTAGGTTTGAGTTCTAAAGATTTCCATATTTGCAAAGGAAGAGCTGATAATTCTAGCATACCATCTGCTAGAGTGCGTCGGGGATTAAAAGTGATAATAATGTGTGTAAAAGCACCAGTGCCTCCAGGTTTCATGCCTTTTGATCAACGAGATAAATGTTAAAGGACAGACTCACCTACCTGTACCCAAATATAGCTATCCACTGCTTTCAGAACCTTCACATTGTTAATGGGGTGGATTTCAACCAACAGAGTCAAACACTTTGATCCTACAAAATAAAGGAAGCTTTTAGTAATAAAGACTAGAATATCACATATTATCTCCTCCACATAGGTCTGAACTTTGAAAATATAAATTTGTTGCCTGTTATATTAGCTATTCCACAAAGAAAAACAATTTTATGAAAATTTACTATGACATTTATTAAAACCCAAACTAGGTACAGGAAGCATCATAAAGGAAAAGCTGATGTGCATAGAATGAGGAACAAGTTGCCGCCCATTCCTCAGCCATTTTTAGTGTAGCGTCACAGGCCCTTTTGCTTCTAAGTCTAAACAAACACAACTCAATTCAATGTCACTCCAGTTCTATAGCATGATGGAAAATACTGTTTGTATATGAAAATAAAAAGATATTTCTGATGCATGAACATGTTACAGTTGACAGCACCTATCAATAGCACAAGGGCTGGCTTCCCTCAGGAATGTGGAGCTGCACTGATAAAGACCCTCTTATTTCCTCAGTGTCACATTTGAGCAAATGTTATCAAAGACAGCAATTAGAAGGAAGTACTTGGACACAAGCTAGAATAGGATTACCAAAGATATACTAATTCAGGCCAAAGGCTCTCCTCTCCCAAGATTAAACTTCAAAAAAATAAGAGGTTGGCTTACATTTCAGTTCTTACAAAGACTAATATCCTCACTTTCTCAATGACTTTACTTTGAATAACAATGTAAAATTTGGGGGTGGCACAGCAGCCTGGGATTGAATTAATGCCAATTTTCACTATTTAAGAAAGTAACCTGACAGCATTGCTTTACTTAATTAAAAAAAAAAAAGTCAAAAAATGTAAAACAATTTCTAGGATAGGCCTCACAAGTGCATGAACTGGATATCTCTGTAAACATACCTTTAAAAATTACTGAAAAAACAAGATAGTGAGTGAATTATTATGTGGGATCACAAATATACAACAACAGAACAAATGAAAACCAAATGTTGTTTGGTCAATGAGTACTTGTAGGTTAGGTTAAAAATCCCAGTGTCAGGATCATACACCAATTCAAAAGGGCTGTGTTTCTAATAACTGAGGCAGAGGTAAAGGTGAGGCACTTTAGGAATTTGCTTGATAACTTAAAAAATGGCTCTAGGAATAAGACACTGATGTCAAAGACACTCAAGATGAAACATAGAACAGAAATGTTTGGTGAAACGTAAGAATGAGAAAAAAGAATGAGAAAAAAATGTGAGAATGAGGAAAAAATGTAAGAATGAGAAAAAATTATGTTAAGTGTATATAGCTAAATTACTATATTAAAGACTACAGCTGAC